GGACCCTTCCGGGTGGCAGACTTGAAGGCGATTCCAACGACGGAGCCAGTCATAGTCCGAAAGGCAGGATCCCAGAAACTCCGAGGGAGGCGCCAAGGCCAGAACTTCGGCGACACCCTTACCGTCTGATACCACCGCTATCCTCGCGATGCAATCGGTGACGGGCGACAACTTCCCATTCGGGCCGATGAACGCTGCCAGCGCCTCCCAACCCCCAACCCCAATCAAGCGTAAACCTGGAATTGCCTTCATTGAAAAATAAGTGTAAAAAAACTGGCTCTTAACGAACGTTATGTCTCCCGTGATGAGCTGAATAGCTCACTCATTATACGTATTGGTGGGATGGTAGGTGGTTCGTCCATGGTGGATCGGGGGGCCGGGGTAGCTCTATTGCCGTTGGCCTTGTGTTCCGCATCACCGTCGATGGCTACGATGTCTGGCAGTTGTCCTTGCATTTGTAGTTGTTAGTCGCGGGAACGAATTTTGTCGAGGGCATTTTGTATTGAAATTTCTTTCGACATCGTTATGTCCCTGGACGACTCAGCGGGTGGTGTGTTCTTTTTTCCAAAAGCCGGTGGCGTTGTATCCACCACATGCCCACGAACTTTCATTCCACTAGCACGCCGTACCACTCTTACCAGTCCTCGCGCTTTCCCGGGCGGTCCTCTAGACTCCTGGTCCACTGCGCGGTTGGGGCTGGGGCTTACTTCCTTCACGTACTCAGAGCTAGCATGGGTGACGAGCCGGTGTTAAGCCAGGTTGCGACGAAGTGCGTGGAGTCAAGCCTACTGCTTGCTGCCGGCCCGGCTCCGAGGTCACGACCACCTCGTCCCCGATGGTTACGACCACCCCGACCCCGATATCACGACCTTAGCCCTGATGTCACGACCCCGGCCGAAGAGTTTAACGGTTTCTTCAATTCCCATCCCAACACCCAAAAGTGTGAACCAGTCTCGCTGACAAGTCCGCACTTTCACACCACACACTAATTATCAATACTCGGTTCCATGTGTTGTCGCACCACAGCTTCGCTTGCACCGAATTAATTTACTCACACTTGACAATCAACTTAACATGTGGCGAATATACCAATAAAAAAATAACCTAACTTTATGACGTGAAATCGATTCGGGGCGAAGCTGTGGCATGGTGCTGATTTTAAGTGGTTGAAGCCAGGAGCCGGAAGCTATACAAGTAGTAATTATTTTCTTTGCGTGTGCGGGTTATTCAAGGATCGCAAGCATAGCCTCGGAATCCCTCAAGCAGCGGAGAGAAAGACCGATACATGGGCACGAATGGTGGTATACCTACCTGTTTGGTCAAACCACCTTTTTAGTAATATTAGAAATCAATAATACTGCCTGTACCTTCGGTGCAACCCCTAGTTCACGCAGTCATACAAAAGGCCTGCTGACCAAAAGGCCTGCTGACCAGTAATACATTCTGCAAGCGCTTCAGGTGTAGTGCGCCTGGGCACCACGGTGCAAGGTCTCCGTTGGGGGCGTAGGAAGCACAGCAACCCTTGCAGGTGTCAACTCACTGCGACTCTGATGCACGGGAGCAGGTGTGGCCATAGGACTAGAAGTGGTGGCAGGGGCAGTCGCCGGGCTGGGAGAGGCAGGGGGACATAGCATTCAATTCGTTAACAGCGCCAACTGCGCTTCCTGGAATAGACCTTCGTACGTCGTATCGGTCCAGGTATCGATCGGGCAGAGGGTTCATGTAGGGTGACTGAGGAGAGGAAGTAACAATGTCCTTTGGCCATACCGAGCGGCAAGCAATAGTTGCTTTGTCCGCCTAATCCGAAGCTCAAGTTGCTATGATATCGGTCGTACCGAAGCCTTCCTTAACAAAATCAATGCTATCAGCATTCAAGCTTTTCATCAGATTCAGTAACGTACGTCGCAACATACGTCGCAGCATCCACGACCTTCCGATTCACTCCCTGTCGAGTTCGTCACCTTTGCATAGAGCTTCTCAAGGGAGGTCAGTCTTCGATAACGCGTCTAGACAAAGTCGGCGATATCACTCCCGGTCCGACTTGACTACTGCCGGTCATTGGAGCCGAAAGCGTTTTTTCGGCAAGCTGGTCTCAAACAGCTCTTCAGACTGGCGAACTTCTTTTGGAGAGACTCCAGCTCCTGACGCACCATGAGTAGCTTGCCTGGTATTCCGGGGTGTTATGAACGCCGAAATAAGTATGCATTGTTTCGACAATCCAGTCATGACGTTGTCGAGATCCCACATACCAGTTCCTCCGCACCGATGTCTGGCGACCTACCCCTGGGTTGTCCCGTCGATGAGACTGCCGCGGTCGACGGCCGAGGGGCGTGGCTAGAAAAAAGAGACTGCAGAGTGGTTGCGCGCGGTTGTGATGAAAGCACACGCGACCCTGCTGGCATAATCATCGGCTTGTTCGGTAGCGACTCGGTTGACTGACTCATCCAATGCATCATAATAAATTGTGAGCAACTCACCTCTGGAGACTGACACAGAGAATGGCTGGGGTCCTCCTACGGCAGCGGCAATGTCTTCGCCGGTATGACCACAGTGCCGGGCAATGAGTTTGTCCGCCACGGTGCGGACCAAAAGTTCCTCCATCCACGCCCACTCGCGCAGCTCGTAGTTCTCGTAGTCAGTGAGGCCGGTGACTTTAACCTCGTGACCTACGGGGAATGAGGCTGGAGACCCTCCGGCCTCTGGATTTCCGCCTTCTGGAAAGTAGGTAGATAAAAGGCGGTCTCTGCAGGCCTCGTAGGCCTTGCGATAGCGCCGCTGCAGCATGGTCCAGCGCCCCTCGCCCGCGAAACGCCAGCAAGTGTCGAGGCGAGACTCGTAACGTGACCGTCGTGGCTTCAAGTCGACGCAGTCGCCGCGCAAACACTTCGCCACGTCCGCCGCCATCGCCTTCGCCACAGGGTCCGAGAAAGCCTGGGAGGTATCAGCCTGGGAGGTACCAGCCTGGGAGGTAGCAGGCATAGCAAGCCACAGCCTGACCGCCTGCTGCAGCATTGTTTCTCCGACAGAGATCTTAGGGGCGCGCTGGACCGCTATTGGCTTCCAGTCGAGGTGTCGTTTCGCGCATTCATACGCGGCAACGGGGTACCAACGCGCCAGAACTGCGAGAGTCCGCAGCATTTGCTCCGGCGACATAGCTTCCCCGGTAGCGGTCCAGCAAGCCTGTCGCTGTTCGTACTCCTCTAACTGTCGACGGGTCAGGAATGGACCACCACTCCATGGACCGGTGGGAACGTCATGTGAAGGGCTGCAGCGCGACTCGAGCCATCGGAGCACAGCCCTCGGCTGGTATTGGTCTTCCTCGATGAAGGGTCCGGTCTCTCCACCAACGTAACGCGACCAAATATCCCGCGTCCACCTGCCCAGGGCGATTGTATTCTCGGCCGGCCGCTCCGAGCTGAAGGACGTTGAAGCCTGTCCTTGAGCGCCGCCCGCCAGCACCCCGACGATGCCGACTTGCAACCAAGCCGATTTGCATTGAAGCGTTCTCATGTCCACTATTTTCTCAAACCCAAATATCGGTTCCGGCTTGCCCGTCTTGTCCAACAGTGCATCAAGTGGCGGGCCCTGTTAAACCGCCGTCCTAAATGGTCGTCCGCGGGCCGGGCCGGGCCTGCGAGGAAGCCTTGTTGGGACGACACAGCGCCTCTTTCTAACCCCAACGGCAATACTACCAATAATGGAAAGCGCAATGGACCGAGACTTCTCGATGAGCACTAGATGCTCGTTGGCAACACTGAAGTTGGACTGGAACCCACGTCCTCTGCATGCCACTACGTCGCCGCCCAACCGGCTGCTGTACTCCTCCAACTTACCGCGAGTTAGAAACCACCTGTTACAAAGAGTCGGCCAGACCTGCTAGAAGCGCTAGAAACGAGCCAGCGGAAAACAACTTACAGACGGGTACCACAGAACCCTGCTCTACAAGTCTCTGAATGAATCAGTATTTCTCTTGTTGAACACTTTCTTTGAACTTGCTCGTTCTAACTCGATAACAGTCCGACGACAGGTTCTCATGAGGTACAACTCTCGGAGGTATGTGTACTGAACGGACCAAACAACAACCAGTCACGAACCAGAGATACCTGTCAGTCAGCAGTGTAGTTTTGCGTATATACAACACACGACCACATTATTGACTCATGTTGCGTTCGAAAAATTGGGCGCCCACACATTGAGGACTCGAACCTGCGACTGTGGGGTTAACAAATGGGAGACTGGAAGGGGTGTGGTTGGCTCCCGCCAAAACGAACGTTCTGATGCCATTTGCTTGGACGATGCTATCAGACGATTGCTGCCAGGCGATAGCGCTTGTGCCATTGCGTGACGCCCACTTCATGCCGTGTGATAAGATAAAATAAGGTCCTGACATTTGAATTGCTGCGCTTCTACCAGTCAACTGCGTTGAACCTGTTCTACAGGTCAGTCAACTCGGAACAGACGTCAACGTCAATGAGAAGTTCACAGCCACAAAGTTCATGGGTGTGTATTTTGAATCAGTGAGAAGAGTTGGAAGAGCTGAACCAAAATACATCCCAGCAACTAACTAAGGCTTCGATGAAAGGTGATTGATGCAGGTAGGCTTGGTTAGTTTTCTTGGGGGCAGAAAGCCATCTGGATTGTGTGGGGCGGCTGTGGAGGAAAGAGTGGCTACATACAGCGCACCTTGTGCGGTTGAGTTGACTTGTGGGTGGTGAGACGAAAACGGGCAGATAGACATAACGCTACCGGTCCGGCTGGGTTTTTGGAGGAAGACATCTATCACCTAACATTCCGCCGTTACTCAGCGGGTTGACGAGGCTGGGTCCACACAGAGAGTACGTAAGTTGGTGCAAGGAATGTCAAGACGTGAGTGTACCCCCCTTCGAGGCACAGACAGAGGCTGAATTCGAGGACTGGACAGACGCAGTTTCCAGGGCCTACTACAAGTATGCAACAGTCGAGGAGGTATCACTTATCAGGTTCTTGGCGGACCGTATCGTGCCTGCTACGGCGGACCTGCGCTACGCTACTCTCTCTGAGGCAGGTCGTCGTAATGTGGAAACGTATTTCTCGGAAGTCGCACGCAAGCTATACGACGACTGCAGCCTATACGTGCACGCTTGGTACAAGCAAGTGCACGCATTCAAGACTGAAGACCTGGCGAAGCTCAATAACGTGATAACGGAGAAACTGAGTCGTTACGCGAGATTGGCAAGTAGGTGGGGTTGTAAGGCGAGAGTAGATAAAGGGCAGATGGTCTATGAGTT